CTAGTAGGAAGATTAGGCAGTTACATACAGGTGCCTAAATATTAGAGGTTCCTATCCTGACAAGTATTCTCCTTTTTTATATTTATTTATTTATAAAAAATTTACCAGGAAAGACACCTTGAGATTTCTCCTGTGTTCAAGTATGTCCTGGGTCGACATCATTTGATATGCTTGTTCTTTTTGTGTTGTGATAATGACTTTTTTATTTGCTGTTTGTCCTTCTATCTTTCTCTTGTGTGTCCTTAAATCGTGGCGCAAGCAACACATGAACTGAAATAAATTAGGGGCTCCTGAGAAGTCTGAGGCTACAGGCACCTGAGACATATGTCCAGCCTTGTGTGTAGAGTGTCTGTATAGAACAAAGTTGGGAACAAGCTTATTGCTGTCAATAACAGATACAATTAGATGAAGTAACATAAAGTAAATCTGAGGACAGAGCTTGGAAGATTGAGTGTTAGTAGGGGTTAAAGTATGTTTTTGTTTTCTTAAGTGGGGGAAGAAGAACATATTATGTCATCCTGGTATAGCAGAGTGAAAGAGGGGATTTACAAAGCAATGGAAAGTTGAATAGATTCTCCTCCAATGAAAACACCTCTTGTTCCATGAAACCTATTCATCAACTTCAAGGTAAGGCTCTATTGACAAATCTCTTCAAAAACATCTTTTGGTTTAGGCTACATTTTTGTCCACATTCTATTCACTGAACAAGTTGTAGTGAGTTAAGGAACAAATTTCATATTTTAGGCATTTATTTTGAACTAAATCTTGAAATGATTTTGTCAACACATCAGTACGTGAGGTAAAGTCAATCACATTATGTGTACACACTGGAGAGTTACTATCTGCTGAGTTACACTAGGATCTTGCAAATTTTTGAGGAGTTCCATCTGTGATGATAACAGTGGGGCTGAGGCTTTAAATTCAAGCTGTTAGGAACTCAGCAGTAGACCGATTGCCTTCAAATTCCTGGACATCCTTAAAAATATCCCCTAACGTTTCCTATAAAAGTAGTTTAAAAATGTTGGTTGAGGTGACCAGGTGGTTTTTAAGTCTCCCCTAAAACAGGAAAAACCTACTCCCAACGAAGACTCACAGTGGTATTCACTAACAAATTAATTCTGAATAAAAAAATTGATATAAAAAATAGCTCATTTGGAAAAGAAATCCTCCAAATCAGGTATAGTCAAAGCTTGGCTATTTTTGCCTCAGTTTTGCCATTATTTCACGAACATTTAGTGAATAACTCTGGCAGCCATTAAGTAAAAATAAGAGAGTATTAAATATAATATTAATATAATAATATATTATTAATACTATTATAATGTCATCACAACTACCACCACAAGTGTACAACACAAACATTTTGTTGGCAGTTGCACATATAGAAAGAATTCTCACTCAAAAAATGAAATAAAATCTATCTATCTATCTATCTATCTATCTATCTATCTATCTATCTATTTCTCTCTCTCTATCTATCTATCTATCTATCTACCTATCTACCTATCTATTTATCGACAACTTTTGAGGTTAGGGGTCCATGGTTGCCTATATCATTAGATTCAGGGTTTCAATTTACCAACTGTTTTTTTTTCCAGAAAAAAGATTCCTCTGTTATTAGTGAGAATGACTCAGCTTACTTTGGAAGGATTGCCAATGTATTTGTTGGCATGATACTGGTGTGTTCTAGAAGCAGAACTTTTTCCCTGTGAGAGAGGAACAATTACTTAAAGCAGGTTTATATAATCACTGAGTATGTTTTTTTTATTTACCAGTATGTTACTTCCTATTGACAACATCCACTAAAGAAGAATGTTCTGAAGGCAAGGACGAAGAAGTGGTAAAAAGCAGAGATAATGAAGTAATTGGAATCCAAGGTGGATGAATGCATCAATGAAGACAAAAATCTCCCCAAGCCGTGACCTGTTCACTGACCTTCTAGATCAGAGGATTATGAAGGATTATTCATGAATATACTAGGAGGATGGTGATTTGATAATATCAAAAGCTATTTGTTCCTGTTGAAGGACCCAGTAAACAATATCAAATAAAGGTCAAAGCAGGCAAGTCACAATAAGAGTAGAAGACACAAACTGGAGTCGAGGCAGGAAAAATTTGAGCAAAAAAGCATCAATAAAAATATTCCATGAGGTCTGTGGGTTGGGTTCAATGCAAAAAGGCACAATAGCATCATAGGGTCACACACTAGGGTTAAATTAGACAGAAGCAAAAAGGGCAAAGTCAAAATCTAAGACCGAATCCCGTAGGTAGCAGCAATAACCACTTGTCGTCATACATACTAAACAACTCCAGCTTCTCAAAAGGCTCAACAGATGCTCACAATCTGTTACTGCAAAAGAAAAGAAAAATCAATTTGGCCTGATATACAACACAATGCAGATCATTGCATCTATTTTAATCATTCTCAAATCTTGGCTTCTGTTTATATAGACACTCCAGGACAAAATCAAGATGGAGGGAACACATATATACTTAAGCAAGACGTTCCTCAACAGAAACAAATAAAAATGCAAATGTATCTATTTATATCAGGAAATTTCGCTCTTCGTTTAAGTAGAATGTTCGCTTGCATTATGATCTAAAAAATTTTTGTTCACTGTTGAGCGCAATTATATTTTGATGCACTGCACAAGAAGAAAACGTGATTTATATGTGACGGTATAGAGATGTGATGATGTTGAAAATCACATACATTGGGTTAATGACATGAAGAACCTTTAGGTGGATCTAGGTCGGATATTTCCTTTCAGTCCATGTTTTACCCCTTATTTTTCTGTGTTATGTTGCATTTACAATAACTTTAACTTTATTTTGGATAATAACCATTTCCGTGGGTTCATTTGTCTGGGGGCTTTTAACCTATAAGAAACTGGCTGAATTTTCTATTCCTTACTCCTTCAGATCCGTGTCCGTGTGCAATAAAACATAACTAGCAATTCTCGTACAGAATAAACAGAATAAACAGAATTTTAAGCACGGTTATATAATGCGGTAATTGTATCTAATCAGCTGCTCTCTATAAAGTCTCAGCACAACTGAAGGAAGTTAATTCACATGGGAAGAAGATATACTGTATATCCGACCCGCTACACTGTATACTATAAATATGTTTTACTGAAAAGACTTAGAAAAGCCGGATATTAGTGTTTTCACCTTCAGTTGCTTGGATGGCTATCAAACATCTATTATTTTTAGCATCAAAGTAACTGAAAAGCCATTGTTAGAAAGAATGGAATAATTTCTTCTTGGCAGTAGTGAAAGCAGTGGGGAAGACTGTGTATATTATCTGAGTTAACTCAAGGCTAGCAGCGTTCATTGGATTAAACACATTTTACACTCATTTTACAGATTCCAAAGATGGTCCCTATTAAGAAAACATTGGGAGAAATTTAAAAAACCAAGCAGCACATGGGATTCTAAAATCCAATCTTGTTTTATAGATAATTCAGCAAATCGTTGCCTACTAGGAATACACTCAGCAAATAGACATTAAAAGATTATTTTGGCAGAACGCTAAGCTTTCAAATTGCATCGCTTTTGAACTTTCCCATAAAGCATGATGAATTGTTTTCATTAACACTCATTATTACCCTAAATAACCGATCTCCAATATTCATCATATTTTTTTCATTAAAACACCTCTTGCGTTTGTTCATTCATCATCAGTAATTCTGCCTCACCTCCAATGACTGCTTACAATATACAATATACAAGGAAACAGTCCTTATTTTTTCCCAGAGTGTTCCCTAAATCTACAATCGCCCACGCACACAGCCACAGGTTGGATTCCTCTGTTGTCGGGGAAGTCAAGACCCAAATGACTTTCACACGCTATACAGATATTTAGGTAGGGAGTGGTCCAGGTATAACATCCTTGGCACCTGAGGTAACAATTGCAAATATTTTTTAAAATTTCAACAAAAACAGAGCAAATGAAAACTCTGAGAATGGGCAAAGCATAGATAAACCCAGTAGCTTTCCCTTTGGTTAGTCCTCACTCAGATCTCAAAATGTTTTTGCTCACTTGTGCCATTACTATACAATTTGCTTATCAGACTGAGACCCATATGACACCCATAAGGGCAGTTATCAACCAAAATGCGGGCAAGTCCTCTCTGCACAAGAGATACAGCAACTCTGGGCGATCTTTTTGGCCTTCTTTGGGTCTCGTCAACGAGGTGTGACTGTGTCACTAAGATCTGAGCGGGAGAAAACAATGTGGAACTGCACTCAATCCCATCACTCTGAACCAGGGTGCAACCAAACCAGGTCCCAGTACCAGGAACCCAAATGCTCAATGTGAAAAATTTAGAAAGGTCCAGGCACTCCAAAGTTCAAAAAAAGGAAATTTATTAAACCCAAAACCACGTCACAAAGTTTTGACCTACATGGTCTTTGTCAAGCTAGCTTTTTTACTTTGGAGTGCACATATTTTCTACATTAAGATCTAAAGATCTAAGCGGGAACTAACCGACGGGCCAGCTACTGAATTTCTCTAAGCTTTTGCCCATTCTCAGAGTTCTTATATTCTAAGTTTTTAAAAATTTCAGCAATTCCAAGCAGCTAAAAGTGCATATAGGGGGGCGGGGCTTTGCTCTGGCGGTGATGGCTGCCTAACATTTTCCTGCTTCATTGCCTCATGTTAATTTGCATTATAATTCCCCAAATACCTGCTCAAATGGGGAAAAATTATAGACCCACCATCTCCCAGAAGGCTGCTGATTCTAAAAAGGGCTTGTTGACCCCATCTCTCAGCCGGTACCTCTCTACACCGACGGACCTCACCACTCCGATAAACCTGGCGTCCCAGCCCGTGTCGGAAGAGGCCTCAGACGACCATGGAGATGCCTCGCTTCTCCCTGGAGGACAGGTCCCCGATGCCTGAAGATAGGGAATGGCAACCCCCTCCTTCGGGTTCTCACCCACTCTGATCTGGTGGCTGTCAACAATGCGCTGCAGGCCTCAAACTGCGGGATGACATGCAGGGCCTGACCGACCGGGTGTGCCACCTGGAATCTACCTGTGACCTGCTCCAGGGGGACCTCAAGCTCACCAGTGGAGTGGCTGATCTCCAGGTGGAATATCTCAGAGGCCTGGCCCTCCATGTGGAGGATCTTGATAACCGGGTCGGCGGAATAACCTGTGTCAAGGCTATTCTTGAAATCTTGCACAGGACCCCTAAATTGGGCCTTTCCTTCTTCACGTCCCCCCTGTACCTGCTCACTAACAACCCCGACATTCCACCGGGATTAGGGAGCAACCCTACTCATGCTTCTTTCAACTTACACAGGTCCGTCACATGACCAAAGGGAAGGGACTCAAGACCCTAGAAGATGTATTGGGGAACAATGTAGGAACATTGATGCATAGGTTGAAGTACGAACAATTAAAACGGTTTCTCACCCACATACCTCAACAACCAGACTTGTACAGGACTCTTACCTCCTTCCAACAAAATTGTATATTCCCCGCCTCACACCTCCACACAGTCTCTTCTCTATACTCCCTACTCCAAACACAAGGGAACCTACCGGCCCCTACCTACATGGAGAAATGGGAAGTGGTAATTGGGGAAACCCTCACAGACAACCAATGGGGGAAAATTTGTAATCTCGTGCTTCACTGCGCATTGGCTAGCAGAACTCAGGAAACAGCCTATAAAGTCTAAACACAATGGTACAAAACACCACTCCTCATCCAGAAGATTAACCCTGCCTTAGATGGCGACTGTTGGCACTGCAGGGTACCACTGGGCACATTCATGCATGTCTGGTGGGACTGCACTAAAATACAGCCTTTCTGGAAGGCAATTAGTGCCAACCTAGAGAAGTTCTTGGACAACCCACCACCTTTCAAACAGGTGCCATTCCTCCTATACCACACCACCACTCCCACGGCCAAATACAAAAGATCCATGTCCATAAGGATCCTGAACATGGCCAAACAAGTTATCCCCCTTTATTGGAAAAAAGAGTAACCCCCGCCTCTGACATTATGGTTTGACAAAATGGAGGACTTACGATGGCTGGGGGGGCTGACCTTTACATCCCAGGGGCGTACACAGACATACACAGATTAGATATCTGGACTCATTGGCTGCTTGACACTTACCACCCAGACTTCTAAGTTTTGCTGACGTACGGTGTCCCAACAGACACAGCTGGGGAGCTAGGGATGACGGTGGGGGTACTGGCCAGATAGGGGGACAGACCCCGAATCATCGGTAGGGAGGAGCTGACCACTGGATAGGATGTGAGGAGCTTTCTGGCAAATTACGAGGTGTTAGACCGGGTTTGGTAGTTGACCTGCCTGCTACTTCAGTGACCTCACCCATCCACTGACGATTGGCAGTAGCAGACTAAGGTTGGGATGATTTAGCTTTGCTTAATGGCTCATAGCAAGGGCTTGACTCCAATTAGCTGAATCGGCCCTTGGGACAGGGACATCATTTTTGTGACTATATCATCTGTTTATTAGAGCGTAACGATTAAAATGAAGAACTCAAGGGTCCCAGTTCCCGGTTTCCTTTTTATTGACGACTTTATCTTAGTCCTACATGATTGGTAGCATCAGGGCTGTGACTTGACTTGAGATAGTAGGATGGATCCGTGGGACAAAGACATCAATTCATAGTGCCTACATTATCTGTTTATAAGAGCATAATGATTATTGAGGAAGGACACAAGGGTCCCAGTTTACATTTTTCTTAAGTTTGATGATGTTACCTTAGCCCTGCATGACTGCTTGCAAAGTTACTGTACGCTTTCTAAAAATGATTGTTACCATTGATACATGATTTCCCTGATACCCGGAAGTGATTTCCCTACGGTGACGAATAAGATGCAGCTCGTAACACTGTGGAATAAATCACAAAAATTTCCACTCTTACAATAAATACAACAAATAGGTAGTGAACAGCACAGTCACCACACAGCAGTATATAAGAACAAATAGTGCCACTACTTTGGACCAAATATAACGTGAAATATATACCACTTTATGAATGTGCTAAGTGGTAAAAGAGAGATATATATATATATATGAAAGACTGTACCATAAATAAACTTGAAGGTGCCACTGAAAATAAAAGATACAAAATCTGATAGGGCAACCCAATAGTATACAGACATATGTAGGTAGGAATGTAACATTTAGTAGGTTTCACACTCACATTTCATTGAGCCTGTTAACAGTAACTGGCTCAGGTAGTATAGCTGTGATGTGATATGAAATGTCCACAGGGTTGTATAGATGTCTTGATCCTCAGTAATTTCAAAAGACAGGAAAAAGGCAAGCCCAGTTAAAAGTGTGCAAATAAAATGTATTCCAACAAAAATAAAAGCCTTACATTAAGGTAACTGGAATGTCACAGTCCAAGAATAGCAGCACAATGCGTTTCGACGCTCCTTGGCGTCTTTCTCAGGTCCATAGACTGTCCTGTAGTGAATGAGTGTCTTTTAAACCAAGTTTTCCTAGAGATGGGTGGAGCTAAAAATCCAGATTTCGGTAGGAAAACTTGGTTTAAAAGACACTTATTCACTACAGGACAGTCAGTTTTTGCAGCGTTCGCTTAATTGTCAGCATCAGTCATGCTTTTTTGGGCATCATGTTTGTGATTAAATGCGGAACATTGAGTCACAAACAACTAAACCAGTTTGTCCATTATCTGATTAGGTTGGACCACCCACCGATATGCCAATTGCAATTCGCTTGATTTGAATACATATGGCTAATCCTAAATAACAATATTCTGATTATTCTGTATTTTTTCCCCATAATTCAGTATGTGTGACCAAAACACATGTTTTTATTTTTTCCTACAACCTCCATTTTGATATGCATCATGGGAATTGTAGTCAACAAATATCAGCAGCACCAACGTTAGCTATCACTCTCTAAGGATATAGCGTGTGCCCATCCTCACCCCATCTGGTCAAGGAATGCAGACACATGGGCACATTCTTTCTGTATAATTATGTGTTTGTGTAAACGTTGGCATTATTTGAGATTTGTGTTTTACCAACGCTAACTTCCTGAAACATTTGTGAAATATTTTGGAACATTATGCAATAATTAAAATAGCTGTGATCTACATTGAAACCACAATGCAGTATTATTTCAAGTTGTTTTGGGAAATGGGAAAGACATCTGACTTTTAGTCTCTAATAATAGACCAGAAACAAAAATGTTTCTCTTTAACCAACTAAATGAATTGTAATTCGATGAATTAAGGTTTCAACAAATAGCATGAGATACAAGAAAATATCACATTGGACTATAATTGAATGAGATAAGTAATCTAAAAATCTTCTAGTTTCAAAAATATTGGAATGAATCTAACCAGTGGCACCAAACTGTGTCTTCCCAATTGATGTCATACTTTAACTCCTGTTGTTAGTTGCTTCTTGCAGACGGGGAACTATGGAGGTTGTCCAAAGGAAACTATAAATGAAAGGGTCAGCTTGATGTTCCTACTGTAGACACACATAGTTTGGTGCATGGAATTCCACTGTGGTCAGAACAACTGGCATAGATCTAAGCAGGTTGTGTAAATGCTTGAGACCATGTTCAGCAAAGGCGTAGATAAAATCAAAACTTGACTCCCACCAATAAGCAGCCCTGATTTAGTCTCATTAACAAGATTTCAAACTTATACCGCCTCTTCTGATTACTTGCTGTTCTCAGACGTGATAGCTCTACTTCTGGATCAGAAACCAGAAACACTTAATCCGTATTCATTTTCAAATATATGAACTCTATCTATCTCTGTAATATTCTGAGAATGCATGCTTATCAATTGTGAGTAAAAGTAAGTTCCGATATCTGTACAGCAAAAGCTGAAAAATGATTGGGGGGTGGGGGGTTGATTGGTCAAAAGTTCTCAGTCCCTTCCTGATAGTTGGCAAAGCTATAGACATACAACAAATAAGGGTAAATTTAAAATTAAGTTAAATTTTTGTTTCTTTACTTTCTTTATTGATTGTAATAATGATGCTTGCTTCATCATTTTTTAAACATATTGTATCCATAATACAATAAAATGGGGAGCCTAGAATCCAGTGGAGACTCTGGGAACAATACAGAGGTACATGGTGAGGGGCACATCAGATATTACAGTAAAAATTGCAGAGGGGAACACTAATAATTTCCACTACTAAATTATATTAGTAGTGGTCTTAGGGGTGAGTTTTGTGGATGCACAGGGATAGGGGCACACATACACATGCTCACTACAGACAAGCTCACTGACACACAAATGCTCACTTCAAACTCACTGACACACACACAAGTTCACTACATACAAGCTTATTGTCACACAAACATGCTCACTACAGACAAACTCATTGGCACACACACACACGCACACAAGTTCACTACAGACAAGCTCATTATCACACACATGCTCACTACAGGCAAGCTCACTGGCACACACAAGCTCACAGACAAGCTCACTGACACATATACACATGCTCACTACAGACATGCTCACTGACACACACATGCTCACTACAGAAAAGCTAGGTGACACACACAAGCTCACTGACACACACACAAGCTCACTGATACACATAAACATGCTCACTACAGTTAAGCTCACTAGCACACACATGCACACTACAAATTCACTGACACACACATGCTGGCTTACAGACAAGCTCACTGACACACATGCTTACTACAAACTCACTGACACACATATGCTCACTTACAGAAAAGCTCACTGACAAACACACAAGCTTACCACAGACAAGCTCACTGACACACAGTAATATGGGCTGTAGTGGGAGCAAGGTGGATAGGGTCTGTAGTGGGTGCATGGGGATAGGGACTATAGGTGGTAATAGGGGCTGTAGTGGGTGCAAGGGCGATAGGGGCTGTAGTGGGTGCATGGGGATAGTGGCCATAGATGGTAATAAGGGCTGTAGTTGGTACAAGGACAATGGGGGATGTAGTTGGTGCATGGGGGATAGGGGCTGTAGTGGGTGCAGGATGTAAAGGGGTTGTTATGTGTACACAGGGGACAGGTGCTGTGGTAGGTACAGGGGGGATAAGTGATGTAGGAGGTGCAGAGGGGGTATAGGATTTCCTTACCAGCCATGACGTTTGGCGGGAGAGGGCAAGGCACAATTCAGGAGGGATAAATGCCTCCCCACCCCGTTGAGATGACAATACTAGAACCCGCCCTTTGCAAATCCCTTTAAAAAATGTTAGACAATGAAGATATTTGAAGTTTTTTTTATTCTGAAAACAGAGATGCAACATTGAGAATAAATGAGTCTTTATTGCCAAACGTTTAAAACAGTGCATTCAATTTAATTACCTTCAGAAGTGGTTCAAATTTGAATCCAAGATCTTCCTTCACTTCATCAGGAAATACCTCAGTTAGGATTTATGACTTTAGAATGTGCTGAAACCTCTTTCCACAGTAACCTTCTGCTACATTTTAATTTAATTAATTTGGGTTAAGATAACATAGCAGTTTCATCATTTAACACTAATGCAATGTATTTAAAGTTTGGGAGATGTTCTGTCATAGTGATGGAAGTTGCATTTCACACAAAAAGCCCAAAACATTGGTCCAGGCCCATCCTTTCTTGGTGTAACCATTTGTAAACTAATATAACACACCTCTGCTCTACACTGTGCGACAAAGAGGTAGAATGTTTTTTTTTTTCACCTTGACTAGAATCGCACATACAAAGGATGACAGTCATTATACGGCTAATTGCAGAACATTGTGATGAGTGCCCCTTTTTTTATTTTGTTTTGCCTTTGTAGTTCTCTGAGAGTAGGGGATTTTTGGCCACACACATTGCAGATTTATGATGCTTCTTGATGAGATGCAAGAACTATTCTCTACCACAAAGATTTGTGGAATGCTGTGTTAAGACAATGATGTGTAACCAGGCAGAATTTGGATGTTAACCATGGTTTTGAGATGCATTGGGAAACACAAGAAACATGACACAATCGTAAAGGGCCAGGGCTGGGCTAGATCTCCAATTAATTAGACAGTTTGAAGGCAAAAAAATGCAAGTCAATAGATACATTCAGCTGGATTTACTAGAGGTCGATGGGCTTTGGTTTGGCATTGCGGCATATTTACACCAAAATGGCTATTTACTAACTGGGGTAACTTTGCTACAGATCCAATTAGTAAAGGGTTCATCTGGAACGTGAGCGATTCACCGGACACTATAGAAGCTACAATGCCGCTTCCCATTCACTAAATGGCGTTTTGTTCTGACAGGCTCAAAATATAATGCTTATATAGTTTAGTTTTTTTTTTATTGGGTGTTGCATATATGGATGCATGAGGGAGGTGCTTACCATTGGCTGCTTGGCAGAAGAACCTTGAGACATGACCACTGGGAAGAGTGTCAGAAAGATGACCCAAAGACCTCTGGAAATGCTTTGAAACTGTGTGGGGATTCAGAGGTTATAGTCTAGATCAGGAGTGGGCAACCATCAGCACTTTAGATCATGTGCGCTACATTTCCCATATTGCTCATGCAGCTATGCTGCTGGCAAACCTTCAGGGTAGATGTAGTCCACAGCATCTGGAATTCCCAAAGGCTGCCCTCTTTAAAGAATCGTTTCTCCAAAAGTCACGAAAGACATTTAGGAAGGCTGGTCTTTGATATTTACGAATATTATCCAATGGAGAGGTTTTTGTGGACTTAAATCCTCTCAGTTGTAACCTGGAGTGTTGAAATATATCCTCATGATGGAAGGTGAGAATTTTAGTAGTTGATGTTGGGTTAGGATCACCCATTTAGTTCACTCTAAGCAATGATTTAGCGGATTGCTTCATCTTGTTTAGTGATCTAGAACTTGTCTGGTGGAAGTTGTTCCACTGCCAATCGAGACAGTCATCCAGCCATTGCACACTGAAGCACTGTCATGGAAAATGGGACCATATTTTTTATTTTGTAACTAATCTGGTGGATATTGTTATGAAGTTGGTAGGTGACAAGAATGTGTTATGAACAAAGACATAGTACATCGAAAGGATACTGGGCTGGATATATAATATAGAAGTCACGTCTGAGCATGGTGTCTGCAGGGGGAATGGTATCTTTCTATATTACACTGTTACCATAGAAAATACATCTAAGAATCACAGGTATTACACTCCAGCATCAAAACCAAGTACCCACATAAAGTTCGCCTCAATCTTTACCTATTTATCCACCCGAAATGTATCCCTCCCCCTTACCCTCCCTCAGCATTTGCTGCTTTCCTCAGTTATAGGATTATTTATACTGCTGCTTCTTGTTTACTTTTATAAAATTTTTGGTCCTTAAGGAAGTCTTATTTGTATGTCGAAACGCGTAGAACCTATTGTTACATTTTATTTTATATCTTTTTATACTTGCATGAAATAAAGCCGATTTTTACTTGAGTCCTGCCTTCAATATTGGTGTGACGGCCATCATTAGAAGTGAAGGAATCCTGGATTAGAACCCCACTATTCTAAGGGGAGACTATAATACCAGTCTTCATTCTGTGAGTGTAATTCTGTTAGCTCATATATTGCACTTTAAACTGTATTACACTATTGTACTTTCTATTTTTGCACATCTACAGCTGCATATCTCTCTCTCTCTCTCTATCTATCTATCTATCTATCTATATATTTAGAGATTGTAGCCGTATTAGTCCAGTGATGTAGATGTAAAAAATAGATACAATTTGTATCTTGTAATACATTTTTTATTGGATTAACATCATTTTTAAATGACAAGCTTTGGGGAGAACCTCCCTTTCTCAAGTCTGAAGCATTTCTGAGCAAGACGATACATAGGAATTTATTTGATACAAACGAAAAGTTTCTCTTTGAGCTATGAATTTTCTATAATTTCTCAGATTGTTTTCAGTGGCAACACATTGCATGGTACATAATTCTCTGCTGGGGTGTCCCTTTGAAGGGACACTATAGTCACCTGAACAACTTTAGCTTAATGAAGCAGTTTTGGTGTATAGAACATGCCCCTGCAGCCTCACTGCTCAATCCTCTGCCATTTAGGAGTTAAATCCCTTTGTTTATGAACCCTAGTCACACCTCCCTGCATGTGACTTGCACAGCCTTCCATAAACACTTCCTGTAAATAGAGCCCTATTTAGGCTTTCTTTATTGCAAGTTCTGTTTAATTAAGATTTTTTTTATCCCCTGCTATGTTAATAGCTTGCTAGACCCTGCAAGAGCCTCCTGTATGTGATTAAAGTTCAATTTAGAGATTGAGATACAATTATTTAAGGTAAATTACATCTGTTTGAAAGTGAAACCAGTTTTTTTTTAATGCAGGCTCTGTCAATCATAGCCAGGGGAGGTGTGGCTAGGGCTGCATAAACAGAAACAAAGTGATCTAACTCCTAAATGACAGTGAATTGAGCAGTGAAATTGCAGGGGAATGATCTATACACTAAAACTGCTTTATTTAGCTAAAGTAAGTTAGGTGACTATAGTGTTCCTTTAATGGTTTACACTTTACAGATGTAATTATTCACACACCCACTGTCTTTGAATCTGCGATTCTCACCATCTCTCAAAGTGATTCAGATTTGAGATAAGAGCATCTAATTCTTTGTTACTGAAATCAATGTGTACTCACATTCCCAAGAGCAAACAACTTTTGAAAATAGATAGGTTCATGTAAAAAGTAAATAAATTTGATCAGAATAGGAATATATTAACATTAATTATTTTAAATTACGCGAAAAAGTCAGATCAGCCACCTACTGTAAATTATTTTATATTCGTTTTTTATTGCTATATGAAAAAACTATATAAAGAAATTCTTAGTGTTAACTGAGAAAAATAAGCCATAAAAACACAAGAAAAAGAAATGCGACACTTCCCCTTTAAGTACTTGCCATCCTTTTAACATGCTTCCCTCCCCAATTTAGCATCGCTAACCGTGCAATAAATGGTGGCGCCAGGGACTCGTGCCGAAGGTTGACTATTTTTATGTATGTCAAGAAATCCGTCCTCTCCTTGAAGCTGGATGTATAAAATTTACACACATTCTAAATACTTCTCCAGAGATTCTATATTCCATCACCTGTTTGCATACGAATGAAATCTGTAGGCATGCTATAGTTTATTGGCTAACTAATGAGTTCACTCTCGGAGCCTGTTTCTTAACGTCTCCCATCATTTTGCGAAAAAGAACATTAAACAACATCTTCCATTCTGTAAAAGCCGTGCAATACAATCCAGCTGTTAATTCTAACAGGAAATCCTATGAAACGGGCTCATGTCCTTTCAATGATTTCACAAATCCGAATGATATAGATACAGCCAATTCCTGCAACAGCAGCTGTCCACACTTACAAAGCTCTGACTGTTAGATAAGACACTGCCAGCTGGATCAAGACGTTTCCCTGATTACTAGATGTCCTACACTTGGCCAAATGGGCAGCTGTCAGCTTGGGTGGCAGTAATAGAGCATGAATGGAAAACCCCATTCTCTCACAGTCATCCTGAAGAAATGTCCTCTTTCTGCCAAGGCAGCTAACCAGCCAAATTCATGACTGCGTTAGCCAAAAGTGATATCATCAGATCGGTCCAGATAAATCACGGCTCAATGCGTGTATCTGTGTGTTAGGCAGCCATTATCTGCGCAGTGATCGCACTGACACCAAGATAAGGAAATATCCTACTGTACATTTAAGAATTCACTGAAGAGTTCATTCATGAGCCCAAGGCATTCATACCTTAAAGATTAAAGGCTGCCGGATGTTGGATCCGTCAACAAAAAGATGTTATCATTCTCAGTGTCACAATGTATTCTTGGGCTCATCAAATGCTCCTGTATTTTTTTTTTTGTGTGTGCTACATGCACTTCTGGGACTTTATAAAAGGCCTCAGGTTCGTTATGCAGGGACCACTGACCTTATATCAGACTAGACCCTTTAAATATGCTTCACTTATGACGCTCACACATGGGAATGACTGCCACCAAACTCCATTTTCATTTTCTTGCCATTCCACAAGGGCTCCTCATCCAGATGGAATAATAACAGATTAAAAGTTTGCAATATGGTCTGGGAATGCGACCATTCGTGGGTAGACACTCTCCTGGCTTGCCCACCCATCCCACCTTCCTACCTCCTAATCTTGGAAGGTACCCTTGCTCTCTATAATGTGCCGTTTTTCCTCTCTTTTTTTTTCCACCTACTTCTCCGCACCCTGTGAATGTCCTCTGCCACTAAAGCTTTCTTTCGCAACCGATCAACAGCGGCCAAGGACAGGCAGCTTTAGGCAATTTATATGGACTTCTGCATTATCTTAGCAGTAGTAATGGAGGCAGGCTACTCGTCAAACTACTCAAAAGCTGTCTGAGAAAACCAGAAAACAGCACCCAAACACTCCTTGCACCATAATCACTACAATACACCACAGAGATCAGCTAATCGTGCTTAGAGTGCCTCTTTAATTATTATAAGCCAGAAACACTGTAGTGAAATACCTAGTCCGAATGTTACTATCTTGCTACAAATAAAGTATAGAAGTATCAGTAACCTTTATTTATAAATGGAATAAACCCAATAAAATCACACACATCAACAACACATATCATATATTAGGTGAACAATATCTCTATAGAGGCTAGAAGGCATACGACAAATATCCAGACAACCATTATAAATGGCAGCACACACGTATCTCAAGAACGAATTATCAAAGCAATAATGACATAAATACATATATGAAGTCCTACGGCAGCAGATAGGAGCTCTAGACCAGGTATGCTGTGATCTCAGGGCAGTGACAGATAGAATAAATTATTCTGTAGATTTATAGACTCCTGCGGTCTCATACACATATGGTTGGCACAGCATCCCTGACATGACAAATTTCTCAATTTATTCTGCCCCGCATGGTACATATTTAAGAATCTACCTATTCTTAGTTAGCTGAAACTGGTCCTGTGTGTTATCAGGACTGAATAGTATCATCTGGTCGGATCATGCTAATAGCGATTTATATTTGCCTTGTTACGACACCCTCCTGGTCGTGGATCCTTAACACTTCATTATTAAGTGAACCAGAAGTCAAGATTTTCCTTAACTCTGGTAAAACTACTTTAATGAAAAAAATACATAAGATATAGATAGGGCGATGGTGTAGTTCACTCACAAAGCAGTTATAGGAGGGCTTCTGATTAATATAGCTTGCCATAAGAAAAAACAAAAAACAATATTTGTCTTTCAAAAAGCCCTAAACAAAGTGGAAGGTCATCACAAGACAGCCCCATCTACCAAGACATTAACAGAACTGAGAGCAATACATTTTCAGATTAGACATCTTCTTCTTGACGATATTGTCTGGCAGATGAAGTTATCCAGGTGTTTTTTCTATAAAAATAGACAATAATCTAAGCCGATTACCGCAGTCCATTATGCTCAAGGCTCTTTAGTAACCTCTCTGGAGGAAACATACAAAGCATTCAGGTAAGAAATGGATTGTACTGCTAAATTAATTTTTCTAAATTAGTTTTTTCAAATCATTTAAACTCTTTTCGATCCTGGGATCCCTTTTGAATCCTTGGAAGCTGACGTTACAAAGGACATGGTCCTTTCTTTGATCTCATCTCTCGAGGATGGAAAGGTGCCTTTACTGGACGGTTACAGCCAAAGTTACTATAAACACTTTGGAGAGTTCTTGGTCCCCCACATGTAAGAGGTTTTTAATACTGCTTGACAGACTGGCTACCTCCATCTTGACATGAGTCTTGCTAATATTATTCTTATTCCAAAGGGATGCAATCACAGACCCATTACCTTGATCACTGTAGAAATCAAGATCTTGCCCAAGGTACTGACAGGACAACTGTTCCAGCTCCTTCTTAGTATGATTCACCCCGAACAGGTGGGATTCATTCCGAATGTACAATTATATGAGAACACAAGGAGGTTAGTTGACTTAGCATGGAGGGCAAAGATCAACAATAGCTTTCCTTGCCCCTGTCGCTGGATGCAGAGAAGACATTCCATAGGGTTGAGTGGCCATGTCTGTTTGGCCTCTTGGAACACAGAGAATTCCCCACTCCTTTCCTCATGACAATTCGGGCATTATACTCTAACAAGACCAGCTGGGGCTTCTGTCCTCCAAAAGGATGCAGTCTGAAATTTCCAACAGGACCAGGCAGGGCTGCAACCTTTCTCTTATTTTGTTTGTTCTTTTTTTGGAGCCTTTATTACATGATCTCATTAGGGAAATCCAATCTATTCAAGGTTTTACAACCCGCTTATGCTGATGGTGGGCTTATGTCTGTTACATATCCAACACAATTGATACCCCCTTTGTTCCAGCTATTAGAACAATTTGATGAGATATCTGTGTACAGGATAAATTACTCTTCTGTGGACACGGGGCTATTGCGGGCTTGATTCGGGCTATCATTTAGCTCCTCCTTTCGTTATCTAGGTGTTAGGATGAACTTGTCCGATTCTTCTTCACACTCAGAAAATGACTCATCTCTGATACACACCCTTAAGCGAGAGATGGACAACTGGCATTAAAATGAATGTGCTATCTAGACTTCTCTTGCTGTTCCAGGAACTACCAGTTAGGGTTATGAAGGGAAATTCAGATTACTTACAGAGGGCCACACAGACTAGCCAGAAATATGCTACATAGCCCTAAAACCTGGGGATGCCTGGATCTACCCAATCTCATAATGCACTCCTATGCTGCTCAATTAACCAAATGGTCATGTGGCATGCACCACCAGGTGAGCAAAGGTGGGTCAATATGGAAGCAGGGCTAATGGGCTCTGTACTACCATCTGTTTTCATGTGGTTAGACAAATCCCTTAGAGCAGTGGCCTGGCTGACAAAGTGATGTGTGCCAGGGGTATAACACAAAAGCAAATATCTCTGAATATTCAAGCAGAAATTCTGCACATTCAGACTCCTACCACCATGACTACTTAAAACAACTTCTCATTTTAATGAATGAACCCTGATAAATTGTTAGTCAGTGATACCTAAACAAGTAAAATTATTTAAATTTGCAGTATTTTATTTCCTATGTTGACAAATTATAGCGATTAATAAAATATAGAGTTTACAGTGTCGTCTATCCTGCAATATTTTATACAAAGTCTAAAATGTCTCCATAGAAGCAAAAAATATATAAATATATATTTTTTTCTAATTATATTTATTAATTCATTTTTTTAATTCAATTTTTTTATTTTCCCATACATTTCCCACCGGATCTAAAACAGGAAACTAAGAAAATTACAAACTGCAGGATATTATATTGTATGTGATATGACAGTTTGCCACTGATATATCAATGAGGAAAATATACACAATGGTATAAACATCAATACTTTAAAAAGAGGATAAACCGAAAAGTAGTTTGCAATGCAAGCTTGTCTCATTATTCTTAGAGATTATTTATGGGAAAGTGCTTAAGGCAACTTCTAAAGACTGGTTTTAAATAATGATTATCTGATGCACCGCAAACCACCTCCCTACTTAATACCATACATTGTCTCTCACTACACAGATTTACTACATATGACATCAAAATATTACATATGTTGGCATTACTGATATACTGGCCAACCTTCTTATTGGCTGCATTAGGTTACAACTAAGTTTTCTGCTTTAACACCATTTAACCTAAAGTTCCATAGGTAGTTGCCTAGACTGCCATATATTGTAAGCGTCCCACACAATAGTATCCTTAAAGGGACTTTAAAGGCATCAAACAACTTTAGCTTAATGAAGCAGTTTTTGTGTTCAAATCATGCCCCTGCAGTCTCACTGCTCAATGCTCTGCCGTTTAGGAGTTAAATCACTTTTGTTTCTATTTATGCAGCTCTGGCTACACCTCCCTTGGCTGTGACTGACACACCCTGCATGAACAAAAAAATGGTTTCATTTTCAATCGAATGTTAAGTTGCTTTATAAGTTTATATCTTCTGATCTGTAAATTGAACTTTAATTACACACATGATGCTCCTGCAGGGTCTAGCAAGCTATTAACAGAGCAGGAGATAAGAAATGCCAAATTAAACAGAATTTGCAATAAAATACATGTAAACATTAGATGACTCTTTACAGGAAGTGTTTTGGAAAGCTGTGCAAGTTCCATGCAGGGAGGTGTGACCGGGGCTGTATAAACAAAGCGATTAAACTCCTAAATGCACAAAATTTAATAATATTACTGCAGTGGTATGATCTATGCACTAAAGTTGTTTTGGTGGCAATAGTGCCACTTTTAACAATTACTCTTCGTGTCCAAGACAGCTCGTCTTCTGGCTGGTCATATTTACTCTCCTGGCTTCCATGCCCTTTAAATACCCATTTATTTGCAGATGGCCCTCCTGAATGCCCTTAAACATACTACAAATCATGCCAGCCAGGGGTGAAGTAATTTATCCTCTGTTAAATTTTGCCCTGATACAACTGTGTCCTTCTCTCCTGTTGTTGATGGAGTTCTATGAATTTCCTCTCTGATTCTGCATGAGCGGATGGTGGCTTCCTCCAGGTTATGAGGAGGTCCTGTTGTTTTTTACATTTTTTTAAATTTATTATTATTTTATTATTTATATCGCGCCAGCAAATTCCGTAGCGCTGTACAATGGGTGGATTAACAGACACGTAATTGTAACCATAAATGGACACACAGGAACAGAGGGGTTGAGGGCCCTGCTCAATGAGCTTACATGCTAGAGGGAGTGGGGTTTAGTGACACAAAGGGTATACGTAGGGGATATTTATTTGTATTTTTGGAACACTTTGCTTTTGGCAGCATATATAGCCAGAGGACCTACTTATTAATTATTTATATTTATAGGGCTTCAGTGTGATGCCTCAGGAAATCTTTAACTGAAATTCAGCCTTCTGTTCTGGGATTGATAAATATCTGAATTGCTACAATTTTCATAAGAAGTCTGCTCATTTTTCAGAACATCCAAACTTCCTAGTGCCTTACTCATCTTTATAATACATGTTTTTGTTTAACTATCAATAACCACTTCAGTGTGAAGAAATTATTTACTAATCAATAGATTTGTAATATAAAAATTGGATTTTGGAAAACCAAAATAGGGTAGTGTTTAGAATATGAAAGTAGCATAAATTCACATAATCTCAGTGATAAACTCAGAGTTGTTGGCCCTTATGTTAAAAGAATACTATAGTGTTAGGAACATAAACATGCATTCTTAACATTATAGGGTTATAGTACTTATTTAGATATGTGGGCCTCCCAGAAGTGGTAAAAAAGTTTTACTTTCCTGATCTCCCTTGGCGTGCCGAACTCCATGCAGCTGAGATCATTAATCCTGATTATCTCAGCCAATCCAATGCTTCTTCATAGGGAAGCATTGAGAGGCTAATGTGCATGCATGGCAAATTGCCACACTGTGCCAATCAGCATCTCCTCATAGAGATTAATTGAATCAATGCATCCTTCTGGGGAGTGTTTAGTGTCTCCATGCAGAGCGTGGAGACTCTGAACGTCGTTCCTGCAGTCTTTGCAGGACTGATCACAAGAAGCCCCTCTAGTGGCCCTCTGTGTGATAGCCTCTAAAAGGTGCCTAACACAGCAATGTAAACACTGCTTTTTCTTTAGGGACATTAGCCTGTACTGGTTCTGCCTTCTATCATATCCTTTTAAGCTTCTTGGAAATTGAATATTCTGTTTAAATCGGGCATGGGTAGGGATCTCCCAGTTGTTCTCAAAGTTTTCATCTCAAAATGTATCACCTTCCAGGTTCAGTTGGCCTAAGTTTAGTGATTAAATTGTTACTCTGTAATTGCTGTTAGCGTGCAGAAATTTGGGATCTACATTTTTTTTTTATAATGCACAGCCAGTCCAGATGTTTCTGACATCATTTAGGTTGATTGAGCATCATGGGAAATGTAGTTCACAAATATTTGTGCCGTGATGATTACCAATGTCTGCTCCAACCGTTGACAAGCATTTTATTTTCATTTAAAGCCATACAGTATGTCACAAAAGTATTTTTTGTAAATATTTTATTATATCTGTTCATGTGACAACCAGGGCCGTCTATAATATGATTAGGACCCTGGGCAATGCATTTTCTTGGGCCCCATGGGCCCTGTCCCTGCCACTGCCTCACCCCCCAATTACGTCCAACCCGCAATCACACTGACAGACGTACTGGCACATACACACACAGACAGACATTAAAACATTCACAGATACATACTGACACACAAAGTCACTACACACAAATATATACTGGCAGACATACTGACACACACACAGACATACATACATACATACACAGACATATACATTAACAGATATACTGACACACACACAAACACATACACTGACAGATATACTAAAACACACAGACACATAAACTGACAGACACATTGACACACACACACAGGCATACTGACATATACACACACACACAGGCATACTGACATATACACAGACAGACGTAATGGCTGATACAGACAGACATTAAACATTCACAGATATATACTGACACACACATACACTGACATACAAATATATCCTGGCAGACATACTGACACACACACACACACAGACATACATACATACATACACTGACAGACATACTGACTGACACACACATACACACACAGACATACTTACATACACACACAGACATACTGACACACAAAGACATGCTGACACACAAAGACATGCTGACACACACACACAAACATACTGACATACAGACAGACGTACTGGCACATACACACAGACAGACATTAAAACATTCACAGATACATACTGACACACATATACACTGACACACAAATATATCCTGGCAGACATACTGACACACACGTACACACACACACACAGAGACATACCTACATACACACACACACAGACATACTGGCATACACACAGACATACTGACACACACACACACACACAGACATACTGGCACACACACACACACACAGACACACACACACACACACACACACACACACACACACACACACACACACACACACACACACACACACACACACACACACACACACACACACACACACACACAGACATACTGGCATACACACACAGACATACTGGCATACACACAGACATACTGACACACACACACAGACATACTGACACACACACACAGACATACTGGCATACACACACAGACATACTGACACACACACACAGACATACTGACAAACACACACACACATACTGGCATACACACACAGACATACTGGCATACACACAGACATACTGACACACACACACACACAGACATACTGGCATACACACAGACATACTGGCATACACACAGACATACTGGCATACACACACAGTCATACTGACACACACACACACACTGACACACACACACAGATATACTGGCATACACACAGACATACTGACACACACACACACACAGACATACTGGCATACACACACAGACATACTGACACACACACACACACACACACACACACTGACACACACACACACAGACATACTGGCATACACACAGACATACACACACAGACAGACCTACTGACATACATTTTTCCACCCTCCAGGTTCTTACCTTTTCCTGGAGGGTGGTTTCCCTGGTCCAGTGGCAGGCTGAGGCAGATGGGAGTTCTCCTCTGGAACTCCCCTCCTCCCTGCCTTCCACCTCCCGCGCGGCTATCTCCGGTGGGAGGAAGTGACGTCACTTCCACCCAGCCGGCAGCAGAACCGGAAGAGGGGCCCGGTCGCGCTGTTTAAGCGCCACAGAGCCTGACCGGGCCCCTGCTGACACATGCTCCCCGGGTGGCCCTTAGTGCATGGGCCACCCGGGGAGCCTCCTCAGTGTGCGGGAGCCGCACCGCAGGAGCTGCGCAAATCGCGGGGCCCACAGAGCAAGATGGCCTAGGCTATAAGAAGATTGCCAAGACCCTGAAACTGATCAGAAGCACGGTGGGCAACACCACACAGCAGTTTCACAGGACAGGTTCCACTCAGAACAGGCCTCGCCATGGTCGACCAGTCCAGAGGTTGTCTTTGGGAAATAGACATATGAGTGCTGCCAGCATTGCTGTAGAGATTGAAGGGTTGGGGTGTCAGCATGTCAGTGCTCAGACCATACGCCGCACACTGCATCAAATTCGTCTGTATGGCTGTCGACCCAGAAGGAAGCCTCTTCTTAAGATGATGCACAAGAAAGCCCGCAAACAGTTTGCGGAAGACAAGCAGACTAAAGACATGGATTACTGGAACCGTGTCTTGTTGTCCAATGAGACCAAGATAAACTTATTTTGTTCAGATGGTGTCAAGCGTGTGTCGCGACAACCAGGTGAAGAATACAAAGACAAATGTGTCTTGCCTACAGTCAAGCATGGTGGGAGTGTCATGGTCTGGGCCTGTATGAGTGCTGCTGGCACTGGGGAGCTACAGTTTATTGAGGGAACCATGAATGCCAGCATGTACTGTGACATACTGAAGCAGAACATGATCCCTTCCCTTTGGAGACTGGGCCGCAGGGCAGTATTCCAACATAATAACGGCCCCAAACACACCTCCAAGACTGCCTTGCTAAAGAAGATGAAGGTAAAGGTGATGGACTTGCCAAGCATGTCTCCAGACCTAAACCCTATTGAGCATCTGTGGGGCATCCTCAAACGGAAGGTGGGGGAGCACAAGGTCTCCAACATCCACCAGCTCCGTGATGTCGTCATGGTGGAGTGGAAGAGGACTCCAGTGGCAACCTGTGAAGCTCTGGTGAACTCCATGCCCATGAGCATTAAGGCAGTACTCGAAAATAATGGAGGCCACACAAAATATTGACACTTTGGGCTCAATTTGGACATTTCCACTTAGGGGTGTACTCACTTTTGTTGCCATCGGTTTAGACATTAATGGCTGTGTGTTGAGTTATATTGAGGGGACAGACAATTTACACTGTTTTACAGGCCTTACACTTGCTACTTTACATTATAGCAGAGTGTCATTTCTTCGGTGTTGTCACATAAAAGATATAATAAAATATTTACAAAAATGTCAAGGGATGTACTCACTTTTGTGAGATACTGTATATACGATGCAGATTTGTAAGTCCTTCCATTAGTTTACATATAAGCATACTACAGCTGATTGCAATTCACCCCCTCCCACCCGCCTGTACCAGTGGAAAGGGTGAATCATCGCATGGGAAATTCTTCAAAGGTTTTCCATTTTCCAGAGAGATTTGATTTCCGTTTTATCTTGTCAAATTGTTTGCATTTCAGTTTAACCTAATCTGAACACAGAGGGGTTTTCCAAAAAATATGGTTGGCCTCCTAAGTAAAATATATTTATCTCAAACTAACAATGAGCGTGAGTCATCTGCAGTATTAAAACATTGCAGATTAGCATAACGGATAAACTGTATTTGTTTTCCCAGAACAAAGACTGGTGTACATTGTATCTAGCCACAGTTCACCTCTGTACATTTTTTGCTGGTTCAAGTCACAGAGTAGTATCATGAGCATTGTAGTTCCGGAACATCCGGAGAGTTACTCAATGTCGTTGCTGACTCTTCCAGTGAAATTGTAAAATTAGATCCTTCTCCCAGTTGTAACGCAATAAAACTTGCTCTTGCTTTCATTCAGTGTATCAATACACCGGTTGCAGAATCATGCTTACTATGAAGGCCAGATTCTTGTCCCCAGTTCCCTCAAGCAGTAACACTAAAGTATTCCTCCCCACACCGTAAAAATTCAGTTAGATGATTTTGGACAGAATTTAATGAAAATAATGATTTTTTAAATGTTACATTTAATAGTCGGAAGGAATTGCCTACGTATGGTAGGTAACATGGACAAGTAAGTATGGTATGTAGCCGGCAGAATTTTTTCAATAAACACCGAGCTGCAGTAAATTAAAAACAGAACTAGAAAAGTTAGGACAAAACTGCTGATTTGGAAAAATTCTTTATCTTTATCCAAAGCTTTTGGATGTTGCAATTATATCAGTTGGTTTGAGCAATGGTAACATACCTGCTATAGAAGCAGAAACCCCAGATTTGAATTCCAATCAGACCACGTCATCAGTAAGTGTCCTTGGACAAGACACCTAATGATATATATCCACCTACCTCAAGCCTCTTAGATTGTAAACTTGTTTGAGCAGAATCTTTGTCACCTCTAAATATCCTCTTTCTGTAATGGTAAAGCGTTTTGCAATATGCTGGCATATATAAATGCTAATATTAATAATTTCACCATAATTCTCTGTTTGACTAATTTTGTCGCAAGGCGGAGAAAATAATCAAAAAAATCAAGAGTTATGTAGTGCTTTTTTTTATTCACGTTTCAAATAATTTAGCTAAAACGTTAACATTATGCAGATTTTTACTGATATATTTCCTTTCCGTTTAGATAAATGATTTATCTAATTTTATAAACTGCATTACTGAATGACCATTTATTCTTCACATTTTTATACACGTGTCTGGTCAGCAAACGCTGATGACCTCCCATCTCTATACGGCCAGATTTTCCTCCAGAAAAGCTAATATAATCCAGTAGGCATGTGCATGGGGAAAATTTTCGGTTCGGTTCGGCATTCCGAAATTCAGGATTTTCGCATTTCGGGACTTCGGCAGTTCGGCACTTCAAGACTTCGGAACTTCGGCAATTCAGCACTTCGGAACTTCGACACTTCAGAAATTCGGCAACTTCGGCACTTCGGCACGTCGGCACTTCGGAACATCGGCACTTCGACACTTCGGAACTTCGGCATTTCCGAATTTCGGGACTTCGGCACCTCGGGACTTCTATTGCAGCCGCTTAGTAGATAACTCCCTAATTCCTACGGTATTAGGGAGCTATCTAATAAAAGGCTGAAAGACCTAAATTGGTCTTTCAGCCAAATTTACTAATACTAAGTAAAGATTACTTAGTATTAGTAAATTATGCCCCTACTCACTAGACTGCGAGTAGGGGCATGTCTATTAAACAATGAGCAGCCTGAATGTGACTTGCAAAAAAAGTCCCCTCCCCCCCCCGGCCCTCACCCATAAGCGGTGGGTGGGGGCCCTAAATACTAATAAGGGGGGACCCCCTTTTACCTGTCACAGCACTCTGATTGGTGGATTTCAAACCAGTTTGGGGACCCCTAGTCACCTGGGGGGGGCATTTTTTTAGGGCCCCCACCTGCCGCTCAGGGGTGGGGGCCAGGGGGGAGGACCTTAGGTCCCCCCTTATTAGTATTTAGGGTCCCCACCCACCACTCAGGGGTGGGGGCCAGGGGGGAGGACATAAGGTCCTCCCCCTTATTCAAGCTTAGGGCCCCCACCCACCGCTCAGGGGTGGGGGCCAGAGGGGAGGACATTAGGTCCCCCCCCTTATTCTTGTTTAGGGCCCCCACCCACCGCTCAGGGGTGGGGGCCAGTGTAGGGGGACATTAGGTCCCCCCCCTTATTCTTGTCTAGGGCCCCCACCCGCTGCTCAGCGGTGGGGGCCAGAGGGGAGGACATTAGGTCCCCCCCCTTATTCTTGTTTAGGGCCCCCACCCACCGCTCAGGGGTGGGGGCCAGTGTAGGGGGACATTAGGTCCCCCCCCTTATTCTTGTCTAGGGCCCCCACCCACTGCTCAGCGGTGGGGGCCAGGGGGAGGACATTAGGTCCCCCCCATCATATTACTTTATGGCCCCCACCCGCCGCTCAGGGGTGGGGGCCGGGGGGGCAATAGGTCCCCCCTTTAGTTTAAAAGCCTCCACTCGCGCGTCGCGGGTGGGGGCTCGGGAGGGGGAACCCTATTTTTTTTTTTTTTTAAACAGTGAGCAGCCACAGGCTGCTCACTGTTTAATAGACATGCCCCTACTTGCGGTATAGCGAGTAGGGGCATAATTTACTGATACTAAGTAATCTTTACTTAGTATTAGTAATTTTGGCTGAAAGACCATTTTAGGTCTTTCAGCCTTTTAGTAGATAGCTCCCTTCAACCTATTGTTCCTGTAAGTTTTCTTGTAATTGTCCTATTTATTGTTACATCCCCCCTCTCAAAATATTGTAAAGCGCTACAGAATCTGTTGGCGCTATATAAATGGCAATAATAATAATAATAATAATAATAATAATAATAATAATACCGTGGGAATTAGGGAGTTATCTACTTATTCATTCCTGTCATTCCATTGATTGGCTAAGTAACTTACATTTTATATGAATGTATGTTACTTGATTGTTGTAAGTGTTGCAAATGCTTACAGCTGAATCCTGGCTATGTTTGTATACTTTTTATTTAAAATTGTATACAATGTAACATTCTCCTTCTTTCACTGGGTAAGTATATTAGTACTTAGGCAATACTGTGCTTCGGAACTTCGGCACTTTGACACTTCGGAACTTCGGCACTTCAGCACTTCGGAACTTCGGCACTTCGACACTTTGGAAATTCGGTTATTTCTGAACTTCGGGACCTCGGCAATTCGGCACTTTGGTGCTTCGGCAATTCGGACATTCGGAAGTACCCGAATGTCCGAATTGCCCGAAATTCGTCAGAATTCATATTTGGACCGAAACGAATTGCACATGTCTATAATGCAGAATAAACCTATTATCTATTCCATGAGCACATTCAATGTATATATCCCATGGATGGACTGTCCACACAGAGAGCATTTTATGTAGATACTTTATTTCACAGAAGA